CAGCTTAAACAAAAGTCCCCAATACTCAATCATTTTAATATCAACAAAACAAAGGGAGTGAGTACAATTTACTCAACTTATTTAAGTGTAAATGAGTTATTGAGCTTAAAACATTCGAGGTGATCAGTTTCCTCAAATCATTTGAGTTGACTTAACTCATCAGGTTTTACAGCGTGCATGAAATAATGTTGCATGTCCATCTGTAAACACGCTAAGATATCTCCTTTACATGCTGCTGTAGGGAGCTTAGTTTGAAGCCGTAAGTAGCAAGTAATTTTACACAGTAATAAATTCTATTCTGATATATATGTGTGAGATAAACATGCCAAACATGACTATAATAACAAATAATAACAAATATACATGTAGTCTTTATAATCCAGTAGACAATATAACAACTGACCATCACAGCTTTGTGGAAGCAAAGAATGTGACACATAAAAAGAAAGTATTTAAATGGTTTATTAGGCTGTCGTGATTCTACTGTCAGTGATGATCCATGACTATTAGACCTAGGCCTTCAATTTAAGCCATAAATGTCAAAATTTGGTCAAATCCAGCTCTACAACAATGCTAACTTCTGCTAGCATCCCTACAGGATTCCAGTAGTTTGTTAGTGCTAAGCTAATGAGATTCACATGGATATTTTTCAGCTATTCTAGATTAAACACAGACATTTGAAGCTTCTTAAAGACATTCCCTGTTTTACTTGACGCTTCTGACAGACATATTAGCAGATATTTTACCTTTTAGCAGTTTTACAGTGACTCTTTCTGTTGTGAGCTCTGGAATAGAACTGCTGCTGCTGTTTACCATTTCTAACAACTCCGCTGATTAAGCTGCTGTTTGTATTCCCCGTCTTCCAGAAGTTCTAGGACTTCCAGAAGGCCTAGACACAGGCAGGCAACATGCGGCTCTTTTACTGCCCTGTTGTGGCTCCACAGCAGAATCAGATTTGTAGGTAAAAATAAAATAATCCTCCTTTACAGTAAAATAAAGCTCTGCTGATCGTTCAACACAGTTTAACAATAAATGGTCTTAAACTCTGAGTTAATGTAGAACTGCTAATTCACCCTTCAACCCTGAAGGTTGGTATGCAGACTGCTGGTCACCGTAGCAATGCAGACAACAGTCTCGCCTAGCTAGTAACTAACGGCACAGCAAAGAAAAAAGATTTAATGATTTGGGAACCAATGGACTTATTTGTGTTTATAATCAGTCCAACTGGTTTTCTGATACGTTTAACCTGCAATGAGAAACTGTCAAACACTAAAAAGTCATGAGGCTGAAGTCAGATTCTCGTTCACCAGCTTCTTGTTCGAATTTTCCTGTTCCACCTTAAATGGTGCAGCAGTTACATTCTGGTGCCTTCTGTATAATTTAAGGTGGACTGGGAAAATTCGGACAAGAAGCTGACTTTAGCCTCGTGAAAAGTCGAATGTTAAGAGACATTTTACAAGAAACGAGTCCACTTTTGCGGAAAAGTTTCCTGCTGGAGATGTGAGAGCTAAAGCTTAAAGCAGAGCAAAGTGAGTCTGTGTTTTCATTTTTATGATATTTTTAGCCTTTTCTAGCACATCAGCACATACTGAAACTTATTTACAGCCAGGATGGTAAAAATGTTTTGGCTCCCAAGGTGGTTTGATTTTTGTTAAAAGGCCCCGAGTGTCCCCCACTGCTACATGTAACTATTGTGTTTCCTGAACACCCCATTTTAAGAGTGTAAGATGGGGAGGAGAGGAGAGGAGAGGAGAGGAGAGGAGAGGAGAGAGGTACATAGGACACCAAAGAAAGCGATAAGAGAACGCAGGGCTGAGGATGCAGGAGCTGGCGCCGTGCCGAGGCGCATGGCGGATGTCAGCTGCTCATGTGCGTGGCATCTGAGATTAAACATGTTCCTCCGATAGCTCTGTTCGCATGCTGTGTCCGGATTTGCCCGCGGCCAGCAGGACACGTAAGCTAGCAGCCCCAAAAATGAAGTCCTGCAGGCCGGCCTCTGCATAATCTGCAGTAATTACACCACAACAGAACTGCAGCTCTGATAACAAACACAGCCCACAGTGCAGCGCTGCATTTCTTATTCCAGCAAAGAGCCGACCTGCTGAGTCATTAGAGTGTGAACGCGAATTAAGAGTTACGTAAGCGTAGCGCTAATGTGGCGTTTTAGCCAGCGGTGACTGAATGAGAGCGGGCGGAAGTGGGGGGAGGGGTGGAGAGCACATGGGAGAATGAGAGAGAGAGAGAATGAGAGATGGAGACTGAAAGAGAGAGACACAGGATGAATGAGAGAGAGGGAGCCTGAAAGAGAGAGACACAGGGTGAATGAGAGAGAGAGAATGAGAGAGCAAGACTGAAAGAGAGAGACACAGGGTGAATGAGAGAGAGAATGAGAGAGAGCGAGACTGAAAGAGAGAGACACAGGGTGAATGAGAAAGAGGGAGAATGATAGAGAGAGAGACACAGGGTGAAAGAGAGGGAGAATGATGGAGAGAGAGACACA